GAGTTGACTGATTGCCCAGAAAGCGATGTAAAATAGTATTATTAAGTGAACAAGGCTACAGTTATAAAGAAATCAGAAGAAAAACGGGTGGAAACTTAACCAAAGGTGGCATTTCTACTGTACACTTTTTCCAAAAGGTTTCCACATTTTTGGCCACTACTGTATGAAACAGCAACTTTATGGATCTAGCAAGGTCAAATCATGCTGATGGATACACAGATTCAAAATGTTGCATATCAATCATACACCAACCATGAGGTTGCTGTTGTAAGGAAAATAGGATGAGGAAGCAATATTAGGTACATTTGCCATCTTCAGTTACTTATAAAGTAATAAAGGTGGGATACAAATCTAATAAATATCTTTTACGGAAAATTATGTTTGTTCTTTGTCTCCAGCACAAGTTCCATTTTCTTATGAAAGCTACATAATAACTGGACCACGGAGGGGAAGGTAATTGCAAACAAGCAATAAAATTACAATACTGCTTGTTTTGGGGTATATTTCACCCAAAGGAGGTTTTGTCTCCTTTCTGAGTGACACATTAAGCAAAATGCTAACAAAATAGAGAAGTTAAGAAAACACTGAAATATTTTAAAGATTACTAATCCAAGCAAATGCTACATGGTAATTATGCTACAAAGTGCTACATTCATCAGCAAGTAATAGCTATCAGCTATTTGAGGTAAGCCGGCTCAAGAACCATTGGAATTCTACTTTATTGTTTTAAAATATAATAAAATTTTGAAAGCTGGAGTTTCTCTCCCCCCTACCCCATCTTGTATCAAAAAAGATCAAGGTTGAGCAATCTTCTTTCTCATCCACTTTGTTTTAGTGCTAATGCAATGTTTACATGATCTGCATTTTCTTTTTTTCAGGTCGTCTAGTCTTAAAGTGAAGACATTATAGTTTCTACAGCACTTTTAAGTTGTTTCTGTGACCACAAATATCAGGTCTGAAATACAGGTTTTTAACCAAATGGCAAGTTAGTTCATCATTCTAAAATTTAAAGAATAAAAAAGGGTAAAAACATTTAAATTCATTCAAGACTTTCCTTAATGAACCAAAGCCAAGATTAATGGATCTAATCTTTGGATAAAAATCAGACCTGTGAGAAAGTGATGAGAAAGAACACTTGGGAAGAGGAAGTATAGAACCATTTCCTTTACCTACTGTATACACCAGTGATGGCGAACCTTTTAGAGACCGAGTGCCCAAACTGCAACCCCAAACCCACTTTTGCATCGTCGGGTGCCGGGTGGGTGTGGCCCATTGGGTGGGCGTGTCTGCGATGGTAACGGCAGACTGGGTGGGACTAAAAAGTTCAATCAATCAGTTCCAACTTTGCAAGATGTTTTTTTTTCCCCGCAAGAAGTTGAAATTGACTGATTGATTGAACCTTTTTTTTGCACACAGTGGCGGAGGCCTAAAGCGAAAAGGTTTTATAAAACCCAGCTGAAGGCCTAGGACTGGGATGACGGCGCGCGTGCCCACAGAGAGGGCTCCGAGTGCCATCTTTGGCACCCGTGCCATAGGTTCGCCACCACTGGTATACAGTATTCAAGTCCAGCTTTAAAAGTAGCTGCTGCATACAGGCATCTGGCAAGTATTTCTTCTAGAGCAGAACTCCTTCAACTGGAAAACAGAGGGTTAAGTGCCCATCATATCCTGCAACTGCAGCAGCCAAATTAGTCATTTGCTACCTTAATGGAAACCAATTACTCGGTTTTGATTTTCACTTCCTTCAAATAAAGCAGCCTAGGTCTCCCTGGAAATTACACCCCAGGCCCTGCTGTAACTGCCCCTGCAATTACTCTGCCGACATGCCTGGTCAACCACCTTCAACTGTGCAGGGGGCAAAGGGTAATTCAATGGTATGCAATCTCTTTCGGTCTTTGATGAATCTTCAGAGCAAGAATAGCTTTCTGGCCAGCCAAAAGTATGCCATAAATATCTGGAGTTTCTGCCTATTTTTTTTATCTTAGTTACCAGATGTTGTTTATTGCACTTGAACATCCAGTTTTCTGAAAACAAGCTGCAGTTTATTAATAGATCAGCCACAGACAAATGTGAAAGGAAGAAAGTCCAGATAATTACTGATAACAATACTGTTAAAAGAAAACCACAAGAAATATTGTTTGCAAATAGAAATGATGGAAAAAATAGTGAAGTGTTGAAGCATATAGATGTGCTATGGTTGATTCTAACAAAAAATAATGGCTATAACGGATTTTATCTAGTTTTGAAAATGTATTTTTCTCAGAGCAACTATCCATGCTGGCTCAGGAATTCTAGGAGTTGAAGTCCACAGTCATAAAAGAGTCAAGGTTGCCTACCCCTGGCCTAGAGAATAACTTTGTAGCTAACATCTTGGTAAAATCAGTCACACAGTAGCAAGGCAGTGACTTCTAAACTAACACAAGATACTAATAAAGGTAAGATGCAATATAGCAATAGCAATAGCTATTGCTAGATTGCTCCATGGTGCTTTACAGCACTCTCTGAGTGGCTTACAAATGTCAGCATATTGCCCTCAACAATCTGGGTCCTCATTTTACTGACCTTGGAAAGATGGAAGGCTGAGTCAACCTTGAATTGGTCAGGCTCAAACTCCTGGCTGTGGGCAGAGTTAGCCTGCAGTACTGCATTCTAACCCCTGCACTAACACGTCTCATAATATCCAGGAACAAAAGAAGCAACTTCTTGAATATTGGGGACACACTCCTAGCCATTTGCTCAAGAGCAGAGGAGGAATATAGGGAACTACCTTACAATGAGTCAGATTCAGGGCTGCAGGCAAAGTAGCAGTGGTAGGGCATGTGCCGCACATAGAAGTTCCACCTTCAATCCTTGCCATCTCCAGATAAGCTGAACTTTATGAAATCTTGATTAGTATTCACATAGTCAACATTGGTGACACTGAGCCATATGAACCAGTAGCCTGACTTTGACTCAGCGTGAGGCAACGTCTGATATTCACAGCATGGAAAAACATTTTTTATTACTACAACTTGAAAATAAAACATAGGGCTTTAGAGAACCATTTATTTAGTCAAATAAACAGAATGCAACAGGACAACTTCCTAGATTGTGGGACAGGCTGGTTTCATCCAGCATAGCAGAGGAGAACTTCTATATGACTATACTAGCGTACAGATAGTAGCTGTTAACTCAGATCTAATTACTTCTATTGTACAACTTTGCCAGTGAATTTGCCAGTGAAACAAGGTAGGTTTGCTCCCATAGAAGCCATTGGTAGGATTATGAAATCATACATTACTGTGACCATTGTACTTATACACCAAAATCCACATAGCACTGAAAGCTATACATCTGGAAGAATGGACCATGATGATGATGCAAAATAGCAACAGAAAAGCTCTCAGTGAGTTTTCCTGATCAAGATTCCAGTGAGGAAGGTTTCACACAACAGTGTCAAAGAAGTCACTCTTTAATTTCATAACAATGAAAGGCTCAAATGCAGTGTATCACAATGAAAACAGAAGCCTTGATGCTAAGAAAGGGCACTTTGCTTTGTTTGTGCACTTTTGGGAGAGAAAGAATTAGAATCTACCCAATTACTAAAAAAAATGTGTAATAGTGCCTGTCTCCATTTGAAAGTGCAAGATTATGCCTGAGTAGACAAACTGAGTAGACGAACACTGATAAAACCTACTAACCTCAGTGATCACAAGTGGGCATTGTTTCATCTTTATACTTCAGTTGTCATTGCCTATTGTACACCTCACTCCTGATTCAAGTTCCTAACTACCCTACAATTTTTCAAGTGCTTACATCACAAAGGGTTGTAAACATAATGCCAAACATACTGTATATCCCATTCAGTGAAATAGAGAAAGTAATAAATTTGCAATCTTGGTTGTCTCCTCTTTTAATCGTTGCAAAGCCATGCAAAAAATGAAGACCAGATTCAACAGCTATTAAACTGAAAGTTTGTAGAGGCAGCTTGAAAAGAGAAGCAGAAGAGTTGCTTAATCAGAACATACCCTGCCTTCTTTTTGCAAGCTGCTTCTTTCTTTCTCCCTCTTTGTTTCTCCTGCAGTTGCAACCACCGGTGGAAGTTGCTGCAGTTCTTATCTGCCTCTTGGTCAGTCGGTCTTAGAAGGATTTCTCTGCCTCTGCCTGGCATAACAAAGAATCTACATGCCATTCAAAAAAAATAAATAAAAGGTCTTCATTACCGGTTCTCCTCTCTCCTCCCTTTCTAACACCACTCCCTTTTAACACAAGCCAATAAGATTGCTTCTAGGCCCACTAGGCTTTCCCTGTCAGTATTCACGGGCTGCTTGTAAATAGCAGAAGGAAGGAAGTGTTTGCATAGATTGAGCTTGGCTGAGAGATTCAAGTAGCAGGAAGGAGTGATGCTGCTCAGTATAAACCAGAGAATATGGAAACGGGGTAAGAGCTGCTTTTTTGGCATTTTTGTTTGGGATTACAGAAGGGAAGGGGAAGGCTTCTACCTGAATCTCATTAACGATGGAGCCATACAGGAGTTGCCTAACCACAGGATGCAGACTCACTAATGGAATCTCTGACTCCAAGGACAGTAGGCAGAAATGGCTCTGACTTTTCGGTGCAATAAAGTTATCAAAATTGCCGTTTCAAATGGACGTAGAGATATGTTATCTGAGAAAGAAACAGCCTGGAGGCACATCCTTAAACATTCTCAACGATCCTGAAGTAAATTTCAAAGAGATTTGGCTCAAGGGCATATTTATTTTTACCTTTACAGATGCACTGTGCCACTGAAATTATCTGGGGCAAAAACTGAACACAGAGGCTTGCTAAACTGGTACCAAGCCTTAACGTGGCATGCTGAACAGTAGTTGCATGACTTTTTCACCTGGATGTCATTGTGTTTTTTTCCTGCAATGTGCACAAATCATTTTAGAAGACTTTTTAAATCTCTAAAAGGGGCCCGTCTGATTTCGGCAATCCTTTCAACTGTTCACATCGCCGTGTTCCACGAAAGACCATGCTCAGTGTGAGTTTTATTTTGGCAGTCTGGATTGATCTTGCTGACAGAAAAGAGTGGATTTCCATCATTTCATAATGAGTGTGCTGACATTAACTCTATTTATTTGTAAACTCCTGGGGAAGCTGTTGGTACTGTTCGACCTGGGTGTTAAAGTTAGCATCTTAAGCAATGCTTCCATTTTCACAAGATGCCCTGAAGTCTGCATCTGTACTGCTGATCTCCTGAGTTGTACCAGGAAAAACCTTCGGCATGTCCCTGTTCCATTGCCTCCTACAACTATCACCTTGGATCTCAGCCACAATGCTATTGTTCATCTTCATGATTATTGCCTGACTACTTTACCACATCTTGAAACCTTAAGGATTAGCCACAACAAAATAAAAAACATCACCCAACATGTGTTTCGCAACGCTACTTACCTTCTGTACCTGGATATGTCCTCCAACCATCTGCAGACTGTGGAAAAATACTACTTTGAAGACCTTGTGAACTTGAAAGAGCTTCTCCTTTACAATAACAAAATAGTGCAAGTAGATGAAAAAGCTTTCATGACATTAATCAATTTGCAAAAGATCTATCTAAGTTGGAATAGGCTAACAAAATTTCCATTTGAGTCTATTCAAAAACTTGAACATCCTTATCTAAGGACGCTTGATCTTTCTGCCAACAACCTAAGCAGCATTCCTATTCAAGTAATAACAAGTTTGCCTACGTACATTAAAAATGGCTTATATTTTCACAACAACCCTGTGAATTGTGACTGCTCTCTCCAGGAGATGCTCCAGGAATGGAAACATCGCGGTTTCAGTTCTGTGCAGGATTTCATAGAGGAGCACACTTGTAAAGCCTACCCCAATATGCTCTCCTTAATTAAGACCTTCAATTACAATAAATATTTTCAAATTTGCTCTTGGAACCAAAGAAAATTTGACATTCCAGAAGTGCTGTGCAGAGTGGGAGAATCCTTGGTAATAGACTGCAACACAAGCCTCCCTGAAGACAACACCACCACTTACAGGTGGATCTCCCCACGCCATGAATTATTCATGTATCCCCAGCACAGTGATCAGACACATCAGCCTTTAAAAAATGGAAGCTTAAAGATCATAAATGCCATCCGTTCGTTCTCAGGCGTTTATGAGTGCATAGCAATCAGTGATCTCCAAAAGGTCAATGAAACATACGAAGTTAACGTGACAGTCCACTACTCCAAATTAGTGGAATCTTTCAGTACTAGCCTCACAACCCTTCTAGGGTGTATTGTAAGCTTGGTGTTAGTGCTGATGTACCTGTACCTTACACCGTGCTGTTGCTCTAAGTGCTGCAGGAAGCCTACAAGTCCTCCTCCAGACTGCAGTGCCCAATCATCTATTCTTAGTACCACTCCATCGGTCACAGATGTAACAAATCGCAAGATCAGTGCAAACAAGCATGTTGTTTTTCTAGAGCCTATCAAGGAGAATCACAATGGCAAGGTCAAGCTGGCTGTCACTGAAGACTTTGATGTGAACCCCCGCAAGCTCCTAAGACTTAAACTGGACTCAGAATCAATCAGTACAGCTTTTTCTAATCCCGTCATGTCACCAGCAGATGCATAGCAAACCAACTGCAGAAAGGCTTTCTTAGTGGACGGCTGGAATGGAAAACAAAATCCTGTTTCCATTCTGGGAGGAAGCGAGAAGAGAAGATATATTCATGAAGGATTTCCTCACCACAATCTATAGAGGATTTTAAAAAATGTTTCTTGGATGGAGGATGCTGAATCTTACATCTTACATTATCTCCCCCCACTAATTCCTATCCAATTGCTCCAGTTCTCTTAGGCATGGACATGAAAAGCAGCTCCTTTTAAGCAAGGAAATGAATAATTGTTCTCTGCACATCCCAAATGATTGCCGCATGCTTCGTTCTCAAGATAATACAATGTTCTAGAAGGTTATCTTCTCCCGTTAGAAAAACTGCTGTGGAATATAAACTTGTGTTGTGGCTTTGACTTTTAGAGAACAAAGTTTTTACTATATAACAAGGCTGTTTTCATCTTTGCAGAAGACCAAGTGCCTCCTATAGCCACATAGAGACCCTTTCTTACTTGCTCCGAAACTGCTCTAACTAGACACTGCTTCAAACCTCAAACATTTGTGAAAATAAATTCTTGAATCCACTCTTTCTACCATCTGCACTGCTTAAAAGAAGTTAGCATAAAAACAAGCTGAAGCAACCTTCCTTTTAGAAAAGAAACAAGCACTGCCCCAGATGACCATACTTGGATATGTGCAGTTAGCCCAGTAAGTAGAATTGATTGCATGCCTAGCCCTAGACTATTTTAATAAATAGCCTTATTTCACTGGAGCTAAATATGCTGGCTGAGATTTAAAAGTTCCATGTTCTAAATGTCTCTTTTAATTAGTAATCTGTTTGTTAATGCAACCAGGCAGTATCACGGCTATGATAAACAGTTTGGATATATGTTTTTTTAATCATTTCACTGGCAAACAAAAATCCATGCCTGAAAATAATATTTCATTTATACTTAAAGGGCAAGCATTCTCCTTGGAATTAGAGATACAAGAGAATTATGCTCAAAGTTAAAAAGGGCACTATTTTAGAGAAAGTGCTGATGTTCTTTATTTTCTTTTGTGTACAATTGAGATTACGATTGACACAAATATTGCCCCCGAATGCATGCATTTTTACATGAGGAAAGGATGTACTGCCACTCAAAAGTAGAATGTCCTTTTCATTCATCTGTTGCCATCGAACAGTCATAAAAGATGCATTTGATCTTAGAATAATACCTAGGACCCATCTGTGCCACGCTCAAGTTTATCATGTAATGCAAGACTTGAATGAACAAACTTTCCAGCTTCTTTCTCCTTCAAAAAGGCTTGAGAAAGTACTATTTTGGTGGTATTTGTAATCCATAATAAGAAAAGGATGGCAGACTAAAAGTCCTCTCAAGTTGCATTTAAATGAAAGTGTTTTTAAAAATAAACATTTGCATTTGAAAGTGTCTATATATCGTTACATTGTGGGACATAGCTGGCTTTATATATATTAGCTGGTCATCTGATAAAGTAAAACTCTGGGCACAATAAGCCAGTTTATCTGATCTCGGTTATCTAAAAAAAAATATAAACCACAGATTAAAACAACCAGTGAATTCTTCTAAATTCAGTATAAATTTGAAGGTATCTTCTGGCCAGCAATTAGTTTATTTCTAGACAGTTATTAGAAAAATCAGGGGAGTTAATGCCTCAAACCCCTATTCCAAAAGTGGTCAGCAAGCATTTTTGTTGACATAGACATTACTTCCAAATTTAAACCAGCTGTTATTTTTCAGAGGAACAAGTCTAAACCTCAGACTTTGTTTCTAATTCCTCCCTTATGATATTGTATATTTTTTATAATTTGTTTTGTATTTTAAAGCCTTAAAATTGTTAATGCTTATTAATCAAAATCCTTAATTATGTTTTTCTATCTTTTTTTTTTAAATCCAGTAGCGAATCTTATGTATATTCCTGGCTACGGAAATCTGCATGAATAATAATTTATGCCTGGAAAGTACCTGAACTTGGACTGTCTTGAGCCTCTAGAGGAAAGCCTTTTCAATGTCGTGATATCTACGGACACTATAACAGAGCTTTCAAGATTCAAGCTTGAACTGTAGAGAGAACCACCACCAGTCAACACAAGTCTTTGCAAGGGGAAGCAATAAACTTACATCAGGTCCTATCTATGGGTTTCTGCAGAGAAAGCAAGAGAGGGGCAAATGATAACAGATGTGAGGGGTCCTTGGAGCTCTCTGAGCTAGGTTGGGGGTTTTTTTTGCAGATGTTTCATTACCCAAACTAGGTAACATCATCAGTGTAGTAAGGAATGGGATTTGCTCTCACAGTCTATATTCCAGTGGCTCACCTTGTCAGGGCTGTTGGGGTTGATCTTGGTGGTTCTTTAGTTGGGCTGTTTGCTTGTTTGGGGGTCCCTTGATTGGGGCATTGTTTACTTCTTGACTGTTAGTCTGATATTAATCCTAGTGTTAATCTATACTCATCTGGATGTTGATTGCTTGTGGGAAGGTACCGGTATTTTGGTTTTTTTGTTCCCTTTCTAGCTTGTTCATTGTCTCTTTTGCACAGTATATAGATGTTGTTTATGTCTATGTATCTATTCATGGCCAGTTTGTCAGAGTGCCAAGGCTTCCAGAAATTCTGTACCATTTTTGGACTTGGCTTGGACGGTTACAGCTTCCCAGTTGAAACTATGGTTAAGTCTGTCCATATGTTGTGAAATTAAAGAGTTTTCATCATGTCTTCTGAGATGTTACCTAGTTTGTGTAATGACATGTCTGCAAGAAAATGACCAAGCTCAGAGAGCACCAAGGACCCCTCATTTCAGCCCTGAGCTACAAGTATTCTCCTTATTGATAACATACGCCTCATCATTTGTGATAGCATAATTTGTGTCAGGCATTCTGATGCAAATATATATTTTCAGCATGTATATGATTACATCATTACACATGTGTCATCATTTTGGCATCATAGTTTACTGTGTATACTGCTGGCATTACTGACTGGGATATGTGTTCAAAAAGGGGGGAACTGAGCAGCTGACATCAAAGTTCCCAGATAAAGCACACTCTTTATTGGTATAGTCTTCTCCTGGAAATGGGGTACATCTGTCCTCCTTTCAAGAAAGAAAGTACAAACTCCATTTCTTGATCAAGCAGCACTACAGAGAATTGTCAAGGTCTTTTTGAATTAGAATAGCCAAGGTCTGTGGTTGTGTGTATTAAAGGATCCTTCTGCAAGGGTACCAGAAATAAGACAAAAGGTTGTAAAATTTTTGTTTATATTTTATTCTGTGTACTTATGGCTATAGTGCATTGTGGAATTTGAAGCTGAAATTTATTTCTTAAAATGTTCATCTTTTATATATGAAAAAGCAAAACGTATTTGCTGAAGGATCAAAAACCAGGAAGCATTTGTGATCTAAAGTACAGAATTTCTATTGCATTTCCAAATATTTATTATTTTGCAGGCCATGAGTCAAAATAAAATAATTGTTTCCAAAACTTAAAAAATAATTATTTTCAAAATTTATTTTGAGAGTAAAGCACACGTTGCTTCTGTAAAATGCATGCTATTCTGATTATAAAATAGAAATCACTCTCCAAAACATGTAATCAGAGAAGAGGGGATGTCTTGAAACTTTGTTTACCTTTCTTCCATGTATATAGTTCTATAATGGAAAAGAGGAGCCTATCAGCTTTCAGATCTTGCTGAGCAATAATTTGCAGGATCCCTCACCATTAGTGATGCTGACTGGAGGCACTGGTCTGGTTAATCTGTAACATCTGGAGGATCACAGATTCCTTTTTCCCTGTTCCAATTGTCTAGCTATATTAAATATTCCCAGAAGGGGCTTTCAATTTTACATCTACTTTATTTATTTAACAAATATATACAATCAGCCCACCTATAATGAGACTTTCTTGGTGATCAAACAATAAAACAATGCATAACGAAATCAATAAAAAGAATGACGTTGACATCATGGCAGTAACACCTTACTGAACGTCCCACACATATACATCACATCCTCCATTAACATCCCACATCTAGTACCTGCCAGAAAAGTGAGATCTTCATGTCCTTTTGCAAAATATATGATGTTCTGCCTAGCTCATGTAATTATTCAAACTCTTGGCAAAATGCAGGATTATGCAAAAGATTCGCCCAATTTCTATTTCAGTCATGTGTTACTGAACCTATGCAGCCACAATGCTTGGTTTTATCTAGCTTTGAGTCACCTGCCTAATCTAGCTTTGAGAACACAGCATAGTCAAGGTTCATTGTGACTTTTAGACTATATAATAAGCATTAAAATATCAGGCCTGGGCCAGCTAATCACAACAGAATATATTTTATTCAATTCTTAACTCTCCAAACAACTTTAATTTCATGCTTACACTTAATTCTCACTATTGATATGACACAGTTTTGCTGTCAGGTATTTCACAGTGTTTGATAATTGGTGAAATTCATTTATGAAATTGATGATTGAATTTTAATGCCCATGAGATGCTATGGCAAGAAAATAATTATACCACTAAAAGGAATTTATCCTTAGAATTCACTGACTATATCCAAGTCAAAGATGCATTCCGTGGAAAAGAAAGTTTAGCAGCACAAACCTTAGTGGGCTAGCTAGGGATTGCTATTATATTCATGGCAGGGGAAATTAAAACTGCAAAGTATTATTACTTGGTTATTTTTTTGAAAAAGACTATTGGGTTGAAACTGAAAAAATAAAGTAATACCCTCTCCGGACTTGCAAGGATTTTACATTTTATTAAAATATTTTTTTCTCAAAAGATCTTGGTGAAAAAGAAATAACTTTCCCAAAGAGGCTGGGCCTCTTAGAAGAAAAAGGAACACTGCAGTTTCTCCCCTGCTATTTATTTTGTTTTCTCTAAAACACATGCAAACTCAGTGGGTCAAGCCCTCCTTCTAGGATCCAGAATTATATCTTATTGTGTTTTTATCTTAATTCCTGCTTCTTGAGTCCAGTGATTATCACACAATTTAAAAAAATG